ACGCTGGGCTCCGCTGCCCGGAGCGGCAACAGGAGCAGGAGGAAGAGGAGAAGAAGAAAAGCCCTGACACTCATCGCGGCCGCCCCTAGCAACCGCGCGGTTACTAGGGGCCGCGGAGCATCACGGGAAGGGCGCGGTCCGCCCCGCCCCGGGGACTCACGGGAAGCAGGGGGGCGGCGGGCGCGGGGCATGATGGGAAGGGGGTCGGCCAGCCCGGGCGCCATGGCGGGAGGTGACGGGGCGCTGGGGCTGGTTCTCATCTCTTTCCAGTCCCAGCGCAGAGAGATTTGGGATGAGGAAACGCACGGGGCCTTTGGCTGCCCCCTCGCCTTACCGCTGCCATCGTGGTGGTCTCAGGTGTCTGCTCGTGCCACCCAGCCCTTCAGAAAGAGCCCAGCATGGCGGTGAAGTGGGTGCCGGTGGGCCCTCGGCACCGAGGCAAGGGCAGTAGGAAAAGGTGTAAGGTTTAGTGACCTACATGTAGGCCACGAATGTGGTAAAAAAAAAAAAAAAAAAAAAAAAAAAAAAAAGTGAGGAGTGGCCCTTTGTGAGCTATAAAATCCTATGTTTGGCATATTTTTGCAACTTTGTTTTTAGTAGACTGCTTTTCTTAAACTGATTTTTAAAGCCTTACCGATTTCCTTCTCGTTTTGAAAATGCCATGCTTAATGTTCAGTGTGCATATTCATGAATTAGTTCCATTAATAATCTTGCAATATATACAGGTATTTTTGTACTAATTTGGAAAAACTGAGCTAGAGTGACTAAACGATTACAGTTCCTTATGGTTATCTTACAGATGTTAACACTGAGGCTTCAGTTTCAACCAAGAGATCATTTTCTAAAACTGAACTGGCTGGAGTTTGTGTTCTGCATTATCTCATCAAAAGCAACTTTGTTTATGCACCAAACTGACAAGTACATCGTTAAACAGTTTCTTATTTTTCTGACCAGGTTTGTTCCTATTGTCTTGGAAGGGAAGCTGACCAAAGCTTGAAAATCATGAGAGGGCACGTTGTCTTTTATGTTTAATACACTTGACTGCTCTCTGTGCCAGTCACAACATCTGAACAGCACGACTTCATGCCAGCATGCAAATTTTGTACATTGGAGATGTTCCAGCTTCTCTTATTGAAAACTGAAGTAATTCCACAGTGCACGCAGCGTCTTTGGCACTTCTTTGCACTGTCCTCTGCTGCACAAGAGCCAATTATTCACAAAGGTGTTGGTGAGTTGTGCAAGACAGACTATTGTCTGCTTCACGCAGTACAAGGCTACCAAGGTCATTTGATCTTACCAAAGAGCTGGTAACTTAGGGTGGATTTGAAATAGTTCTGTATCATGTGGCAAAGTCCTGGAGACATACGTCTTCTTGGAAAGACCTCATTCTTCTAAGGATGGGGTGACATGAAGATGAAAATCCACTGTACTCCACTGTACTTCAGACCTCTGTGTGCCTGACATGCAATAATAGTCTCCCCTGGGTCTCCATTCTGCATTCCTTCTGTTAAATGTAACCCAAAGTTACTGTATCTGCCTTCTTCCTCGGGGAAGAACTGATGGGTTTAGTCTCTGTTTCATTGCTGTTTCTGAGATTATTTTGATTCAGTTGGAAACATTCATGCATTTCCTTTCAGTAAGGTCTCCTAAATTATGTTACTAGTATTGGGGATATTTTTCAGGCTTGAAGAAGAACAGTAACCTCATGTACACTTCCATTTTGAAAAGTGACTATAAAAATGGCATCATAGGACTCATTTTTGTTTCTCACTAAGTCTGTGGTAGGACTGGCTTCAGCCATAGAAGAGAATATGTGCCTATATTTGGAGGAAATAATGGGAATCTTTAAAAAGCAGTACCTTTTATTGTCCCACAGCAGGGAAATGTGTTGACTTTGCCAGTTTACTCTCTTAGGTTTGCATATTCGTAGCTATGTTCAGGACATATCGGTGTACTACTTGAAAACTCTCGTGTCTTTGGCCCCGCTTAATAAAGCAGATAGGCACAGGCTGTAGAAGTTGGCTGAGGACCTGTTCACAGCTAGCAGAGTGAGAAGAAGGAGGCCTTAGGCAGGGAACAGTCCCCTACATAAAGGAGGCTTTTTTTTCTGCTTGTTAAAAGGCAAGTGGAGGTCTTTTGTCCTATTAAGCAAGTGAAGTTTCTGTATCCTCTTGCTTGGGGGAAAGTAAAACAGATTTTGGCGTTTTACCCGATTGCTGTGGTGGTTGGCCCAGCTGGGAGAGGCAAGCCTGCAGGAAGGAACAGTTTGAGCACGTGGCTGCTCTCCCCTTCGCTGCCATGTCTTTGAGATCAGACATCTCTCAGGGTGAAGCTGGCTTAAGGGCTCCCTGAACTTCCTTGGCTGATCTCCCAGACACTACATCTGGTCGGTTCACAAGGATGAAGATGTTTCTCCTACCTAGAAGTCCTGCAAATTTTGAAACTTGTAATTTAGTTTGCAGGCTTGGAGGGAGAGTGGTGCTTAGTTTACTGTTTATCATCGTTGGTCGTATTCTGCCTTCTGTATCCCTTGTTCAGCTGCAGTGTCATGAGATAATCGATATTAAAGCACCTCTACTTGTTAGTTCACACATTTCTGATGCATTTAAAATCAGTAACAAGGGCTGTTGACAATGCACAAGGGAAAATAAAATTTAATAGATTCTTTTTGCGTCCAGAATTACTTTGCAAAGCTGATGGTGCGCAGGGGACCAGATTCCTAGATGAAAAGGAAGCTTTGCTGAAATCTGCGAGCTACTCACAAGCACAGATTGCACCCTGTATGCATGTGGGCAGGAGCTGGATGAATAAGGAGATATTATTTCTTACTGCATCTACCATTGAAATAGAATAGAACTGGGCAACAGTTCAATAGCAAAGTATAATGTAATTAACCTTTCTTCTCGTGACTGATTCTTTTTTTTTTTTTTTTCCAGAAGTAAGTTAGGGCTTTACTCAGGCCAACAGTTCACCGAAACCCATCTCCAGTACTTGCTGTAAAAGAGGAATAGGATGAACATAGCTGTTGTGTCACTTCAGTTTCCTCTTTATTAATGTTTAAGTGAGTAACTCTGAATTCCTTAACTGCACAGTGTGATAGTTCAATGAAGTCATGAAGCCTCTCCAGAAATACATACACAGAACCAGAATGCAGTATGTCTGTAAAGAAAATAGAAGAAACCCCCCTCTTTGTCATACAGAGAAGGCAAGACAAAAGCCAAGTATAAGAAAAATAATTTGAAAAATCCTACTACCACAAAAAACACCCTTGTGTGAGACTTCTGAAGCAGGTTCCAAAGAGCAAACTCCTCAGTATGTAGGACAGATCAGGACATTAATAAATAATGCATGTTCGCCATCACAGAGATTTTAATTTATCCTATCAACATGAGTCAATTAATAATTAAAAAGGGCACTGTGATCCTCATATGGGAGGTCCTATAACATGAAAATTCAAGCAGTTTAAGATGCAGTAGATTGCTCTCTATTAAAAAACATGTTAAGGGATTGACTGTATTACTATCTTAATTATATTTTAAGCAGTGAGATTTTGATGTGCATTTAGGCGTTATAGTGTGGCATTTGCAATCCAAACATTACAGGATTAAGTCTCACCAAGTACAGTAAAACCAGGGGAAGTAACTGATTATAAACACAAATAAAACTAACACAGATGTCTTTTATGAAATGCTACGACTGAGCATTACATTTCAGTTTCATCCAAGCTTATTTTAATAATTCAGTTAAATTTAAATTTTTAACTATATAACTTTCACCACAGCCCTTCCCTTTTAAAATTACTTGAGGTTTAAATAATTTACAAAATTACTGCTGTTCCTCAGAACAAAAGACACTAGAGTTTTCGAAGCAGCACATCAGTATCTGTCCCGAACATAGCTATGAATATGCAAATCTAAGTGAGTTTTGTCAATATGTTTTTCTGCAGCAGGTTAATGATAGAAATTCTGCCCATGGACACATATCCTTTTGATTAAACTGTTTAATTTTATTTTTGGACATTTAAACTAACTCAGAGTAGAATTAGCTTAACCATGGTCTTCCTAAATTAAGATGGATGAGGTGTCCAAGCAATTTGTTTGCTGAATGTGTCCTGCTGTTTCTGAATGCACCATATCCAAGGCTTTTAATTCACTCAGGTTATAGTTTTAGGAAATTTTGAGTAATAAAAAACGCTAAACAGAGTTACTATCACAAAAGAGCTTCTCTAGGAAGTGGTATAATTCCTGTTACTTTAAACTTTTAAAATTAGGAGAAAATCCTAAGAGGAAACAGTTTTGTGTGTGCATTACTTGGTCTAAATATCTATTTTCAGCTTGATGCCATTCAAAACAATTTTACCACCAACCAAAAGTCAGAGTCACCATTAAACTACAATATCTTGTCTTTTATAAAGAAGCTGTATGACTTGGGTGAGGTTCTAAACAAACTGAGGGAGAAACCGATACACAAAATAAATCAGCTCTCCAGGATTTCAGACAGATAGGATTTAGGAGATCCTAGTTCCCCATCCTGAGATGGTGATCTTCTGACTCTGCATCTTCTCTTGACTCTCCCGTGAGGAGACGTCTGGTATCATCCTTTTCTCATTAGTTTTCTGTTTGATGCTGACTGTGGTGTCTTGAACTTCTTCATCTTTTCAGGGCAAACATTGGTTTTGCTCTCTGACAAATCACTTTAAAAATTCGAGTGGACAGGCATTTTTAATTAGAGTCAAAACAAAGTCAAATCAGGCTGAAATAAACTGCATTCTGTTCTAGCACAACATTAGCCCTTAAATAAATAGTGAGAAGCCTGGGCTGCCTCTGTACAGCAGATGGCATTACAGGTAATATTTATCATACTCCAATCCCAAGGCTAAGATACTAGGGAGGGAGGATTGACGTCAGCTACAAGTGAATCAGTCTTAATACAAGATGAACAATTGCTTGTGCCTTCAACAGTTGATTACATTGTACAGCACTTCTGCTTCACGCTCCCCGTTGCATTTATTAGTCTGTCTGAGCAAGCCTAACAGGAAAAGTTCATTTTGTTTTGCAGCTTAAATGGACTGATGATGTAAATAGATCTTGGACTTTGAGGTGGGAAGATTCCACCCAGCTGCAGTAACCAGGGGGATGCCCTTTGCCCCAGTTTTTGTGCCAAATTTGTGCATTTGAGAATTTTAAAACAAATATCACTTGGCAGGATATCGACCCTCAGGGTACAAGAATAATACAGAGTGAGCCAGCGGGGCATGTACTGGGAGGGATTTACGGGGAGATCTATCAGGACTGATACTGAACAGTGGGGAAAACCAAGTCTGTCCTATTTCATTAAAAATGTTTGGGTTTTGTCTTACAGAAGCCGAGTGATCCTCTGACTGAAAGCCAGTAGCAATTTTTCATCTGGGTACAGTGTCATCACACAGGAGTGAAAGAGTTCAGCAGAGGTTACTAATTATTACGTAAATGATGTAGTCTTACCTTGGGTGTCTGGGCAGACCTGGGAGGGTGACCAGGGATGGAGGAGTGTGAACTGCTCACGGTATGCTTTGTCTTGGGTCTTGCCTTACCAAAACACACAGTCATGCTCTGCCAACTCTGTTTGACAGCTTTGTGCTCATACTGAGTTTCTCAGTCTGGGAGCCACGGCTGATTGGCAGTGGGGTACAGAGAGCATCCCGTCCTGCCCTGCGAAACACGCTGTGCTGAGGCGTGGGGAACTCGGGTTTAGTCGGAAGTGTGGCAGCGGGTCACAGGTGGAGAAGCGATGCACGCTCGGCAACTGTAGGACAGATCACCTTGCACTAAGCAGAGCTGCCTTAGGGCACCCTGGCACTTAGGCAGGATTGAAATCTGCTGGGTTAAGGAAAAAGGGGTTAGGACAGGCTGGACTTTCCCTGGAAGGGACCTGAACGAGAAGGAGGAAGAATAAGGGAAGGGAAGGAATGCATCTGAGGGGGAAACCCTGAAAATATGTGCTTCCCTTTCCTGTTAGAGATACAAGAGGGGGTGAGGCAGCAACGTTTGCTGCTGAGGAGAACCACCTTGCAAGTACTGTTTGTCATCTCACACGCCCTGATGGGCCTTGGCAGCCCCAGCACACCCTTATCTCCAGCATGTTGGCAAACTCGGCTGTGCCGCAGTTTCCTAATTCACCAAGGCTGGGACCGAGCTGCTCTTTGTGTTCCCTGCACTTTCCTTCTCCCCATTCTAACGGGCAGATTAATTTTTTTCATCATTTGGGGTACAATTTCAGCTTTAAGCAGAAAATGTTCACGCGTTGCTTAAGCCTCTAGCAGTTTAAAGGGAATATTGCTCTGTCAAGATACACAGCAAGTGAAATGCCTACTGTCTCTTAACACTATTATAATGATGGTGCTTCACTAACATTCCCCATGGGCTGGGTCCATGGAGTATGCCACAAAGTTTTCCTTTCACTGGAGTCAGCTTGGGGTTGTTTCACACCTACCTTTGCTTTATTTACACCCGCCTGTTGTTTTGTTATTTACAGATCTCGGGTTACATAATGCAGCAGCAGCCTCCTTAACGGGTCTACGGAGAAATTAAATGAATTTGCACCCGTTGCGCAGAGCTGCCTGCTAGGAACTTCCAAAGGGACAAACCATTATCTGAGTGTGGAAAACCGAGCTACAGAAGATAAGGAATTGGGTCTTTTTGAAGGGTGTTTAAAATGTTGATGCCTTGAAGTTGTTGGTATCTTTGAAGTTGTCCAGGGGGGCACCCAAAAGCCGTCTCGCTGCCTTCGTATCACGCTCACCTGCAATTAAAATAATTTTAGCGGGTTTTTTGTGCGATGACTGCACGCTGCGGCCTTCTCGTGAGGGTTTTGTTTGGCATTTCACGTCCCGTACCCAAAATGGATTAATGCTCTGCACTTTCATGAATTTCCACAGAAACCACACAAACATCACGTGCTGTCGTGAGCTGGCTCTCTCCCTAACTGCACCCCGCCGGGGAAAACAGGAGGAGTCGTCCTTTAAAAATAAATTTTTGTGTGGTATGACTCACATAACCGTCCTTAATAGCCAGAAAGTACAAACGGCCACCGAGTCCCTTCAAGTTATTTGGAGCACGCGAGACATGCGGCCCGATATGGGCGTGGAGGGCAAGTATCTGGGTTAGGCGCAGCCTCGCTCGCCCCGGTGTTGAAAACATAATTGGAATAATTACAGGTAAAAACCAGCAGCAAGCCGGGGAGCCGTCCGCCGGGCCGGGCCGCGGGGCGCTGGGGC